AGAATCACCGAACATTAACTATAATTTCATGAAATAGTTAATTCTATTTCTTATGAAAATGATTTTTTTAATATTGTCGTTTATTACTCATACCCTAGGAACTCACGATAAATTGTTACAAATGTTAACTATTTATCAACAGCTGCTAGCTATTATTGATAATTTAGTTATTTAGAAATGTGATTTGCCAACACAGATGCAAAGTATCTAAAGTTTTTATAAACATTGGCATTGAAGTAATGCTTCAAGTTTATGTGTTCTACTCTCAGTATAATATTATAACTTCTGCAAAGAAAATAAATAAGACATAATTGTGTGATAGTTAATTTTAGATAAAACACACTTATGTAAAAATTATTGAATCAATCTTGTTATCAGTTAAAATACTAACCATCATTAAAGCATCAAATTATAAAACATTGCTTTAAGAATCACCGAACATTAACTATAATTTCATGAAATAGTTAATTCTATTTCTTATGAAAATGATTTTTTTAATATTGTCGTTAATTACTCATACCCTAGGAACTCACGATAAATTGTTACAAATGTTAACTATTTATCAACAGCTGTTAGCTAGTATTGATAATTTAGTTATTTAGAAATGTAATTTGCCAACACAGATGCAAAGTATCTAAAGTTTTTATAAACATTGGCATTGAAGTAATGCTTCAAGTTTATGTGTTCTACTCTCAGTATAATATTATAACCTCTGCAAACAACATGAATAAAACATAATTGTGTGATAGTTAATTTTAGATAAAACACACTCATGTAAAAGTTGTTGAATCAATCTTGTTTTCAGTCAAAATAGTAACCATCATTAAAGCATCAAATTATAAAACATTGCTTTAAGAATCACCGAACATTAACTATAATTTCATGAAATAGTTATTTCTATTTCTTATGAAAATGATTTTTTTAATATTGTCGTTAATTACTCATACCCTAGGAACTCACGATAAATTGTTACAAATGTTAACTATTTATCAACAGCTGGTAGCTATTATTGATAATTTAGTTATTTAGAAATGTAATTTGCCAACACAGATGCAAAGTATCTAAAGTTTTTATAAACATTGGCATTGGAGTCATGCTTCAAGTTTATGTGTTCTACTCTCAGTATAATATTATAACTTCTGCAAAGAAAATAAATAAGACATAATTGTGTGATAGTTAATTTTAGATAAAACACACTCATGTAAAAATTGTTTAATCAATCTTGTTGTCAGTCAAAATAGTAACCATCATTAAAGCATCAAATTATAAAACATTGCTTTAAGAATTACCGAAGATTAACTATAATTTCATAAAATAGTTAATTATTTTTCTTATGAAAATGATTTTTTTAATATTGTCGTTCATTACTCATACCCTAAGAACTCACGATAAATTGTTACAAATGTTAACTATTTATCAACAGCTGTTTGCTATTATTGATAATATAGTTATTTAGAAATGAAATTTGCCAATACAGATTCAATGTATCTAAAGTTTTTATAAACAATGGCATCGGAGTAATAATTGAAGGTTATATGTTCTACTCTTAGTATAAAATTATAACCTCTGAAAACAAAATAAATAAGAATTAATTATGTGATAGTAAATTTTAGACAAAACACACTCATGTAAAAATTGTTTAATCAATCTTGTTATCAATCAAAATAGTAATCATCAATAAGGCATGAAATTATAAAACATTGCTTTAAGAATCACCGAACATTAACTATAATTTCATGAAATAGTTAATTATTTTTCTTATGAAAATGATTTTTTTAATATTGTCGTTAATTACTCATACCCTAGGAACTCACGATAAATTGTTACAAGTGTTAACTATTTATCAACAGCTGCTAGCTATTATTGATAATTTAGTTATTTATAAATGTAATTTGCCAACACAGATGCAAAATATCTAAAGTTTTTATAAACATTGGCATTGGAGTAATGCTTCAAGTTTATGTGTTCTACTCTCAGTATAATATTATAACCTCTGCAAACAAAATAAATAAGACATAATTGTGTGATAGTTAATTTTAGATAAAACATACTCATGTAAAAATTATTTAATCAATCTTGTTATCAGTCAAAACAGTGACCAACTTTAAAGTATCAAATTATAAAACATTGCTTTCACAGCAACCGAATATTAACTATAATTTTATGAAATAATTAATTCTCTTTCTTATAAAAAATATGTTTTTAATAATGTCGCTTATTAATCATATTCCAAGAACTCATGGCAAATTTTTAGAATACTCTTACCTATTATTAACAACTTAATTAGATATTTATAAAAGATTTTTTAATGTGGATTCATTGCATCTAAAGTTGTATTAACTATCAAAACGTCAGGACTGGTGAAGGTGTAAAAATCGCAACAAAGTATCGTATGAAAGTTAATTTTACTCAAAGCTCGCATATATAAAAATTGTGTCTAAATTATTGCCAAAGAAAATAATTGAATATCAATTATAGTTACATAAAATATATAACTGCCATTTATTTAGCTAAATCTGAACTTATCGTTAATTAACAATAAAAAAACTAGTTATGTCCGTAACGTAATGTAATGAATTACGTGGACATTAAAGACTAATATTGTTAACAGTTAAAAGTAAAATTTTAACATCAAGTAGCAAAATATAGTTAATTATAAAACTGACAAATTATATTTTAACCCAAATTTAGAATTTCTGAATTAACTATTGAAATAGTGACAATTGTGTTTCAGCTAGTTATAGCCAAAATATACTGAAACAAAACGTAATTTTTTATGTTTACGTTGATTATTTTTTATTTATTTTTGATAGTTATAATGATGAAACTTTTGTGCAATTGGCCGCTGAAATACTAATCTCTGCATAAAACTCAAAGGAAATGTTACATTTAACACTAGTGTAAATGATAATATAGCACGTAATACATTTAATAATTATAGTTAAAACTCGAGTAAAAATTGTTACAGACGCATTATAGGACGAAACTGCAGTCCATTATCAAACATATTTCTCATCACTGTTTTAGCAACACATTAACTACATATAATTGATTAGTTATTTATAGATAATGTTGTTCCCTGCTACACCAATCTGTTCACAACTTGTGATCTACTTATTTTTTTAATTACTTTTATTCGATAAACCCAACTCGGAACTAGCACACCGCCAACTTCTAAAAAAAAATCTTTCGCAACTTTCGATCCATTTCGCAACCGTTCCTCCATTAATAGGGTGAGAAAACTTTACTACCGCTATATCGTTTTTTAATGTTTCGGCCAAAATTAATCACATATACACAACTGCTAATCCAAGGTAATCCGGCCCAAAATAGATTTTACGGCCCCATAGTTTCCCCCTGTCTTCCCAAATATAGCCCGTTTACTTTTTCATCGCGCCTTCACACAAAATTCGCCCTCTCAAAACAACGAAAAATCAATCACGGCCCCAACAAACGAAAAAGCACAACACATGTGTAAAACATTACGTCATATCCAAACGTCGCTCATTGATTTATCCTTCAAGGGTGAAATGCAGCTTGTCGTTATTAGTAATCTCGCATTAAGGGTGTTTTACCCCCAAATCTTCCCCATAAAAAACACTCCCGGATTTATGCGAATAAATCTGCCCCTATCGATTCCGCACGTCACGAGCCACAAAAAAAACACGAAATCTGCACAGCGCGACAGGGGGCGAGTTTGGGTCATTTCCGATTTTTCGTTTACAGGAGTGACCTTCATTTATGTAATTATTAATCGATTGGAATAAAATTCAGTGCGTGATCGATTCACGCACGCCAACTTTAAAGAATAAAATAATTATAGTGAAATAGTCGCGGTTAGCTGCGATCCCGGAAAAGCGCCGAAAAGCGTCCCAGCCGTCGTTGCAGTCGTCTGGATCTCATCGCATCGTCTCTGAAAACAACCGAAAGTAGCTGAGTGGAGTGGGGATGAGGGGGTGGCTTGGTGTGTGGCATGTCAGGGGAGGGACTAACCACGGCTAGGCCTCAAAAACCACGTCTGGGATTGGCTACGTTGCGTCTCTGTCTGGCGCGAGGCGAGGTTGAGGGCGTCCTTGTCGCGCCGAAACAGAAGCACATCGAGCATCGCTCGCTCTCTGTCCCGGTTACACCTCAACAAAACCCAACTAGCTTTCTTCATCACCTCATTTGGATGCGCCAGGGGCGGAGCGGGGATTTTCGCGGGCCCCGGGAAAAATCCGCGCTGTGACGCGGTTTGGGATCGATACAGCGGTTTGTTTATTCCAAAAAAAAAAAAAATGGAAAATTGATTTCGAAAAAAACTGAAAACAGAGTGTTTAGAAAAGATGCGACTTGATTAATTAATTAATTAATTATTGGAATTTATGCGATATTTGGTTGGTGCTGCAATATGAAATTGGGTAATGATAAATAGTTGGAATTTTTTTTTTTAGAAATTTTGTTTTTTTGGGTGCTAACTACAGTAATCACGATTCATTTTGATTTTTAATTACTAATTAAGTACGGTTAATTGCGAAAATTATAATTGGGGTTCTTGCAAGGTAATTGGAGTTTGGTCCGGGGCCCCGCGTGCATCGGCCGCCGGCGCCCAGTCCGGCCCTGCCCCCGGCTCACTCAATGTATCAAATCGTACGTCTCACTTCAACAACCGCTCTCGATCCCCTGATCTCTGTCAAATGCAAAACTGTATCACCTCTCGCTTTCGTGCACGCAGCCCCCGTATTTTTTCTCCTTCTTCTAGTCAACAAGACGTCGTCCGTCCTCGTCCGCATCTCCTCGTCCGGCTCGCTCCCTCTCTCTCCTCCGCTTTGTAAAAGTCGGACCCCAGCAAGGGTCACATCTGTCCCTTTCTATCGCCCATTATAAGGCGACAAATCACATCGCTCTCTTTCATTCAACGTACCTATTTATGCCCCATAAAAACTACCCTCCTTCGGTTGGAGCGGGGGTGCTAAATATCACCGAACGGAAAAAGTTCCCAATTCAGTCCGACACCGGCAACTCCAAGTGCAGCACCGTTTAAAAATAGCGCGTCAGTGTGACGAGTGAGTGCGGCACCCATGCATTTGCCCATCAACGCCCAGACCCCGTCGATCATGGACATGTACACAAGCTTGCAAGAGACCCTGCAGGAGTACCACGGCGAGCTGGTGCAAACGGGCAGTCCGGCGGTTCTGTGCAGCGTGTTACCCTCGCACTGGAGGTCCAACAAAAGTCTACCCATCGCGTTTAAAGTAGTGGCTCTGGACGAAGTACGCGACGGTACCACGGTCACGCTCAAGGCGGGAAACGACGAGAATTACTGCGCGGAATTGAGAAACTGTACGGCAGTGATGAAAAATCAAGTGGCCAAATTCAACGATTTGAGGTTCGTGGGCAGGAGCGGCAGAGGAAAGTCCTTCACGTTGACCATCACCATCAGCTCGGACCCGTATTACCAAATCGCCACGTACAACAAAGCGATCAAAGTGACGGTGGATGGGCCACGGGAACCGAGGACCAAGTCGAGTAAGTACTTGTATAGTACCCATAATGGAATAGTGGCACCGATTTTGTAACGAGAGTGGTGTGTAAAAGGAGCGTGCCAAAGCGGATCATCGTAGCTGCAATAGTAACCGAGATAGTAACAGTGCTAACTTTAGCACCATTGCAAACGGGGCTATCCGGAAGATTTTTGAAAGCGGCAAAATCGCACTATTAATAAGAGGGCCACCGCGAATAAGAGTGCGGGCGCGGAACCAGTCAACAACCCACGATAGACCGGTTTTTAATTTTCCAAGTTTAAAAAAAAATAAAAAAATTGCTTTTGGTGCTACGGAAACGGATTTTTCCTACTGGAAACTTTGTCAAGTGTTGTAGAAGTGTCTATAATTTCGATTGACGCTAATTTTTTTATCGTGGGGTTACTTTCGCGTTTTCAAAAATTTCCAAAAAAGTGTTTCGTTTCCGATTTTTGTGACTCTCGCTTCGTTGAGAGTGCTAACCGGCCCGCGGTTCGCATCTTCCGTGTTTCCCACTCGCCGGCAATTTCCCGCTAATGTTTAATAAACACATCTAAACCGTCCCATCAGCATATGTACAAAGTAAACAAATAAAAACGGTAACGACTTTCTGGTTTGTCGGCATATTAAGTATAGTCAACAGCCGTAAAGTTTTTACGGTTATCGCAATCGAATTCAAACATTTAAATCAGTTTTATTGGACATATGCTCGACATTCGGGTAAATTTAGTATCAGAATAAAGCCAAGAATAAAACCGTTGTATAAACACCCCTGCGTTCTGGTTGCGTTGCGAAAGCGCTGTTTACAACCCTAAATTTACGATTTTTTTACAGGTTACCAATATGGGTACGGCTTGCCGGGGATGCCTGGCGGCTTCAACCCCTTCCTGCTCAACCCCGGCTGGCTGGACGCCGCCTACATGACTTATACGTGGCCGGACTACTTCAGAAGTAGGGCTAACGTTCCGGCTCAAGCGAATTTACACGCGTCCTTGATTAAAGGTAGGTTCACAGTGCTCAAAAAAAAATTTGAGCAAAAAGTGCTAAGTCGAAGTGAAGACAAAACTCCACGTTCTCCAGATTTTTCACCTCTTGTTTTTTCCAGGTGCCACCCAGCTGCCGCCCAACGGCGACTTCTACCTGCCCCCGCAGCCGCAGTTCCACCCGCCGCCCAACTTCCTCCCGCCCAACGGGCTCGTCCCCCAGCTGCCCCTCAACGAGCCGTCCCTCCTGCGGCCGTCCCTGGGTCCCATGGACCAGCTCAGCCTGCGGATATCGCCCGTGTCCAACAGCCAGAGTCCCACGGCCCAGGAGACCAAAATCCACTCGACCGTCGACCAGTCGACGTCAGAAAACTCGGACGACGAGGACATCGACGTGGTGAAGTCGGCGTTCGTTCCCATCAAGCCCGGGACGCTGATCCTGCAGGAGGTGCAGCACCCGGACTCGACTGTCCAGGATAAAGAGCTGAAGAAGAGCGAGTTGAAGGCGCCGAGTGCCAAAAGTATTAAGAGTCTGGTGGAGGAGAAGAGTACGAAGATTCACGGGCAGGATATCACGGCGGCGAAGAGTGTGTGGAGGCCGTATTAGGGTGGTACCGGTGCAATATGTATATTTGTAAATAGGGTAATTTATTGTAAATATGTACAGGTGGGGTGTAAATAGGATGTGTTAGGGCTTGGAGAGTTTAAGAGAGTAAGTACTGCAATTGTGATAGCAGGTACTTAGAGGTACTTATAGACTTTAGATATTTTTGTACAAAATGCTCCTTTATAAGGGTCTAGACGAGAATAAAGTCATTACTGCCAAGTGAGGGAAGTGTTTGATTTTGGGGGTTGGGTGGAGTGGGGTTTTGTGGAAGCGGAGTACCGACGGTAAGTACTTTTATTATTTTTTTAATTATTTTTTATTTCTTTTGTTACTGATTTATCAGAAACAATCTACTTAAATCGTGTTTTAAAAGACATGAAAACAATCATGGTAGTACCTGGAAAATTTTAATGTTTAATAAAACCGATTTTAAAATGTATATAGTGTGATAAAACTGATCGAAATTTTCCAAAAAAAAAAACAAACTAATTTTAAAGTGCTTCAGTTAGACTTGATTGAAAAGATTTTGTTGTTATGGTACTACACATCATATTTACTTTTGCTTTTACGATTAAAGCAATAATTTATCAAATTTAAGTACCTAGTAAAATGTTTTTATTATTTTTGTTCAAAGCAATTATTTCAAGGAAAATTTGTTTGATTATAATAGTTAAATTTTCTATGCAGTAGTACCAAAAGTTTTTTTTTTGAGTTATTTTTTATCTATTAATTAATTATATCATACTTGCTACCCTTGCGCTTTATCGGAAACTAATAATGTGTTTATTTAAATGATAATTTTCTAGAGAAACGAAATTTCTATTTAAAAAGGGAAGTGTTTAAATAAATACAGCATATCTAACACAAAATTTAATTACTCTTTATTTCATAATCATAATATATGTCGACTTTTACACATCAGGATTTAAAGACAGGAAGTACTGAAGTACCATTTTTGATTCTGTAAAAATAAAATCAACGAGTTCTTCTAAAAAATTGATAACATTATACAACAACAAAGTACTTCTGGAGAATGTTGTGTCTTAAAAAAATAGGAACGATCATGGTACTACCGGAAAATTAATGTTTAATAAAACTGAATCTAAAATGGAGATAGTGTAATAAAATGGTTGGGAATTGAAAAAAGAATAGTTAAAAGTACTTGAATTGAGCATTGAAAAATGTTTGCTATCAATGTGGTACTCCACATTATACTTTCTTTAAATGTAAATATAATAAATTATTTTTACTAATTCAAGACTGAAGTATGTAGTAACCATGCTTTCACTAGTTTGTTTCAAAGCAATAATTTCAATGAAAATTTGTCTGATTATGGTGGTACCAGTAAAATTTTGCATCAGTAGTACCAAAAGTTAATTTTTATACGTTGTTTCTCGAATCGTCGTAAACTAATACTGGATTTTAGCAGAAAATTCAATAAAACTGGTAAAAAACGAAGTAGTACCAGTTGTAATATTTTTCTGGAGGGCAAAATTTCGAATCAAGTAGGACAGGGTTTAAAAAATAATACAGCAAATCTAAAATGCTTAAGACACAAAATTCAGCAAATTAAGTTATTCATTAACATTAAAGGCAAGAAGTACCTAAATTACTATTTTTAGTTCTGTTAAATTAAAATCAATAAGTTTAAAAAAAAATTATAACATTGCACAACAACAAAGTATTTCTTGGGAGTATTTCTTGTGTTTTTGAAAAAAAAAATAGGAACGATCATGGTAGTACCTGGAGGATTGATGTTTAATAAAACTGAATCTAAAATGGAGAAATTGTGATAAAATTGTTGGAAATTTTGAAAAGAAATATTTGAAAGTACTTAAATTAGACATTGAAAAGATTTTGTTCTTAATGTGGTACTACACATAATACCTCTTTCTAATTTAAATAAAACAATTTTTTTAATCAAGAAATAATTCTGAGATTTAAGTAGTAACCACGCTTTCATTATTTTTAAGACAAAGCAATAATTGCATTGAAAATTTGTTTGATTATGGTGGTACCAGTAAAATTTTGCATGCAGAAGTACCAAAAATTAATTCGTACGAGTAATTTCTTGAATTATCGGAAACTAATAATAGATTTTAAAGGAAAATTTTGAAAAACTGGTAAAAGACGAGGTAGTACCACTCGTAAATAATATTTCTGGAAAACGAAATTTCCACTCAAACAAGGCAATATTTAAAAAAATACTACATATATATAAAACGACGCAAAATTAAGTTAATGTTAAGTTAAGTATTTCTTGGAAAACGTTGTGTTTAAAAAAATGATAACGATCTTGGTAGTACCTGAAAGATTAATGTTCAATCAAACTGAATCTAAAATAGAGATATTGCGATAAAATTGTTGGAAATTTTAAAAAGAAAAATGTAAAAGTACTTGAATTAGCGATTAAAAAGATTTTGTTTTTCATGTGGAACTACACGTACTACTCCTTTTTAACTTAAATAGAACATATTATTTTTACTCACCCAAAAAATAATTCTGGGATTTAAATAGTAACATGCTTTCGCTATTTTTGTTACAAAAGAATAATTTCAATGAAAATTTGTTTAACTATGGTGGTACCAGTAAAATTTTGGATGCATTAATACTCAAAACTAAATTTGTTTAAGTTATTTTTTTTATAATCGGAAACTAATTGTAATGAATTTTAGTAGACAATTTTTAAAAACTGGTAAAAATCGAGGTAGTACCAGCTGTAATATTTTTTCTGGAAAACAAAACAATATTTTTATATAAAATGGTTCAAACACAAAATTAAGTTAATGTTTATTTCATGAGCATAATGTATGTCGAGGTTTAAACAACAGTACTTAAAGACAAGAAGTACCTAAAGTACCATTTTTGGTTATGTAATAGTAAAATGAAGAAGTTTTTCCAGAAAAATATAATAACACTACACCACAACAAAGTAGTTCTTGATAAAAATTGTTGTTTTTGAAAAAAATCTGAGCGATCTTGGTAGTACCTGGGAGATTAATTTTTAATAAAACTGAATCTAAAATGGATATAGTGTGATAAAATTGATGAAAATTAAAAAAATCTGATTGGACTTGATTTTGTTTCTGTTGTGGTACTACACATAGTACCCCCTTTTAATTTAAATAAAGCGAATTATTTTTACCGACTCAAGAAATAATTCTGAGATGTCAGTAGTAACCACACTTTCACTATCTTTATTATAAAGCAGTACCAAAAAGTAATTTTTTTTAGTTCATAATGATAATTTTGAAAATCTACAGTGAAAGATGAAATAGTACCAGTTGTTATATCTTTTCTGGAAAACGAAAATTCGAATCAATCAGGGCGGTGTTTAAAAAATACAGCATATCTAAAATAGTAAAGACACAAAAGTAAGTTAAAGTTTATTTCGTAATCATAATATATGGGAAGTTTTGAACATCAATATCTAAAAATAAGAAGTACCTTAAGAACCACTTTTGGTTTTATAGTAAAATAACCACGTTTTTCTAAAAAAAAGATAAAATAACACAAATAAATATTTCTTGGAAAATCATGTGTTTTCGAAAAAATAGGAACCATCAAAGTAGTACTTGGAAAATTTTAATTTGTAATAAAACTGATTCTAAAACGGGACAGAGTGTGATAAAACTAAGGAAATTTTGTGTGAGAAATCTCTAAAAGTACTTCAACTAGACATTAAAAAAATGTTGTTTATACGGTACTACACATCGTATTCCTTCTTAATTTAATTAAAATAAATGACTTAAATAGAAATAATTCTCAAAGTTACGTGGTTAATAAGCTTTGATTATTATTTTTATTACAAACCAATAATTTAAAAGAAAATTTGTCCAATTATGGTAGTACCAGTGAAATCTTCATCCAAAAGTACCAAAAAGTAACTTTTTTGGGTTCATTTATAATTTATCGGAAACTAAAAATATGTTTAAATGATAATTTTGAAAATCTACAGTAAAAGATGAAGTAGTACCAGTTGTCATATCTTTTCTGGAAAACGAAATTTCGAATCAATCAAGACGGTGTTTAAAAAATGCAGCATATCTAAAATAGTAAAGACACAAAAGTAAGTTCATGTTTATTTCGTAATAATAATATATGGAAAGTTTTGAACATCAATATTTAAAAATGAGAAGTACCTTAAGAACCACTTTTGGTTTTATAGTAAAATAACCAAGTTTTTCTAAAAAAAAAGATAAAATAACACAAATAAATATTTCTTGGAAAATGATGTGTTTTCGAAAAAATAGGAACCATCAAAGTAGTACCTGGAAAATTTTAATTTGTAATAAAACTGATTCTAAAACGAGACAGAGTGCGATAAAACTGAGGAAATTTTGAGTGTGAAATCTCTAAAAGTACTTCAACTAGACACTAAAAAAATGTTGTTACTATGGTACTACACATCATATTTCTTCTCAATTTAATTAAAATGAATAACTTAAATAGAAATAATTGTCAAAGTTAGGTGGTTCATATAATTTTATAATTATTTTTATTACAAACCAATAATTTAAAAGAAAATTTGCCCAATTATAGTAGTGCCAGTGAAATCTTCATCCAAAAGTACCAAAAAGTAACTTTTTTTGGTTCATTTTTAATTTATCGGAAACTAAAAATATGTTTAAATGATAATTTTGAAAATCTACAGTAAAAGATGAAGTAGTACCAGTTGTCATATCTTTTCTGGAAAACGAAATTTCGAATCAATCAGGGCGGTGTTTAAAAAATACAGCATATCTAAAATAGTAAAGACACAAAAGTAAGTTAATGTTTATTTCGTAATCATTATATATGGAAAGTTTTGAACATCAATATTTAAAGATAAGAAGTACCTTAAGAACCACTTTTGGTTTTATAGTAAAATAACCAAGTTTTTCTAAAAAAAAAGATAAAATAACACAAATAAATATTTCTTGGAAAATGATGTGTTTTCGAAAAAATAGGAACCATCAAAGTAGTACCTGGAAAATTTTAATTTGTGATAAAACTGATTCTAAAACGAGACAGAGTATGATAAAACTGAGGAAATTTTGTGTGCGAAATCTCTAAAAGTACTTCAACTAGACACTAAAAAAATGTTGTTAATATGGTACTACACATCGTATTCCTTCTTAATTTAATTAAAATGAATGGCTTAAATAGAAATAATTGTCAAAGTTAAGTGGTTAATATGCTTTATAATCAT